GATAGTGTAGTGCCAGCACAGAGATAAAACAGACCAAGAAAGCTCAGTGAAAAACTCTTGATATATGGACATTCGATTTACAACATATGTGGCATTACAGAGCAGGAAAGGATGTTCTTTTCAATAAAAGGCTCTAGATCAACTAGGCACCTATATTGGAAAAAATGAAACTACCTCTACTTCATACTGTGCATAAAAATCAGTTCCAACTGGATTATAGATGTAATTGTAAAAGGCAAAATAATAAAGCTTCTAGAAAATAGAAACTATCTTCATGACTTTGGAGTAGGAAAAAGTTCAAGAACTAAAATATACTACCCATAAAGTATACATCTGACATTGGTTCTCGTATCAAAAGGGCACAGAATCCAGGTTAAAGGGACTCCCACTGGCTAAGTTAAGGATCATCTGAGCATCAAAACAAAAAATGACAGTAATGGATTATAAACCATTGAGTAAAACAGGAAATCCATAAACCCATTATGTGATTAATAATAAATCGATGAAATTAACAAATACCCAGGGGGCCGGCCCCATGGCTTAGCGGTTAAGCGCGCACGCTCCACTACTGGCGGCCTGGGTTCGGATCTGGGCGCGCACCAACGCACCGCTTCTCTGGCCATGCTGAGGCCGCATCCCACATAGTGCAACTAGAAGGATGTGCAACTATCACATACAACTATCTACTGGGGCTTTGGGGAAAAAAAAAGGAGGAGGATTGGCAATACATGTTAGCTCAGAGCCGGTCTTCCTCAGCAAAAAGAGGAGGATTAGCATGGATGTTAGCTCAGGGCTGATCTTCCTCAGAAAAAAAAAAAAACAAATACCCAGGAAAGCAGGGCTCTTCTTCTTTTTTTTTTTTTTATACTTTTATTTATTCATTTATTTTTTCCCCCAAATCCCCAGTAGATAGTTGTATGTCATAGCTGCACATCCTTCTAGTTGCTCTATGTGGGATGCGGCCTCAGCATGGCCAGAGAAGCGGTGCGTCGGTGCACGCCCGGGATCTGAACCCGGGCCGCCAGCAGCAGAGTCCGCGCACTCAACCGCCAAGCCACGGGGCCGGCCCAAGGGCTCTTCTTTAGAGTAGAATGCTATCTGATATGAAGCAAGTGGTGGAGTTGGAAAATAATTTTATAAAGAATGGTTTGAACAATAATCATCAATAGATGCTAAATCAAGGAGGAAAAGTGCAATGTGAAGCAGCATACTTGTATGGTCTCAAAGTATCTCCCCAATGAGCATTTATCAGTTACCAAGGGAAAAACAGTAACTACATAGTGGAAAAACCAGACAACACCTTGACCAGTGATTAAATTAATATCACCAGTGAGGGACAAATGGACATCGCTTGTCACTAGAGGTGATAATCTGAGCAGAATACAACATCACTTGTGCAGTAGACAGGATGGGATACCTAATCTGAATCTAATCATGAAGAAACATCAGATAAACCTAAACTGAGGAACAATCTACAAAATAATTCATTTTGTAGCCTTCAAAAATGTCAATATCATGACAAAGTCAGTCTGAGGAATTGTTCCAGATTAATGCGATATGAAAACTAAGTGCACTACGTGATCCCAAAATGGATCCTGTACTGGAGAAAGAAAATGCTATAAAGAACATTAGTGAGACAACTGACCAAACTGGAATCTGGATGGTAGAGTAGACAAAACTAATGAATAGAATAGACTATATATTAGGCATATGTAAAACAAGTCTTAATAAATTTAAAAAGATTGAAATCATACAAACTATCTTGTCCAATCACAATGGAATCAAACTAAAAGCAAACAGAAGGAAAACTGGAAAATTCACAAATATGTGGAAATTAAATATCACACTCTTAAATAACCAATGGGTCAAAGAACAAATCAAGAGAAATTAAAAAATCTTGAAACAAATGAAAATGAGAACATAATAAACAAAAACTTATAGGATGCAGTGAAAGCAGTGCTAAGAGGGAAATTTATAGCTGTAAACACTTACGACTAGGAAAGAATAAAGGTCTCAAATAATCTAAGTTTACACTGTAAGGAATTAAAAAAATGAAGAAAAAACTAAACCCAAAGCTAGCAGAAGAAAGGAAATAAAGATTAGAGCCGAGATAAATGAAAAACACAGTACAAAAACAATAGAGAAAAATCAATGAAACCAAAAGTTGGTTCTTCAAAAAGAACAAAATTGACAAATCTTTAGCTAGATGGACTAATAAGACAGACTCAAATTACTAAAATTAGAAATGAAAATGAGGACATTACCATCAATACTACAGAAATAAAAAGGATTACAAGAGTACTATGAACAATTCTACACCAACAAATTGGATAACCTAGATGAAATGGACAAATTCCTAGAAACACACAACCTACTAACACTGAATCACGAAAAAACAGAAAATCTGAATAGACCTATAACTAGTAAGGAGACTGAATCAGTAAAGAAAAATCTCCCAAAGAAAAGCCCAAGACCAAATGGCTTCACTGGTGAATTCTACCAAACATTTCAAGAATGATTAAACACCAATCCTTCTCAAACTTCCACAAAAAAGTGAAGAACAGTGAACACTTCAACTCATTCTATGAAGTCCATAATTACCTTAATACCAAAGCCAGACAAAGACACTACAAGAAAACTATAGGTCAATATCCCATATAAATACTGATGCAAAGATACTCAACAAAATACTAGCAAACCAAGTCAACAACATTTTAGAAGAATCATACACCAAGACCAAGTGAAATTTTTTCTGAAATGCAAGGATGGTTCAACACACAAATATTGACGTAAAACGCCATATTAAAAGAAACAAGGGAAAAAATTACATGTTCATCTCAATCGATGCAGAAAAAAGCATTTGACAAAATTCAATACCCTTTCATGATAAAAATATTTGGAAAACTAGAAATAGAAAGAAACCACCTCAACATGATAAAGGCCATATATGAAAAACCCACAGCTAACGTCATACTCAATGGCAAAAGACTGAAAGCTTTTCCTCTAACATCAGGTACAAGACAAGGATGCCTGCTTTTGTCACTTCTATTCAAGAGAGTACTGAAGTCCTAGCCAGAGCAATT